CAAAAAACTTAAAAAAAAAATTCAGATNTACCCACAAAAAGATAAAAATAGTTACTACAATAATAGTAAAAACACTTACATGTGATAAATTACCTACAAAAATGATAATTTTTTTTGTACTTAACAAATATGTTAAAAATATCCATAATAATAATAAAAATACTCACAAAAGTAATACATTAACTATAAAAATAAAAAAAATTTAATTATAAAATGACTTACAAAAATTTTAAAAATATATTTTGAAGTAATAAATTTTAAAACAAAGAATTGAATTTTTTTTGATTGTGACATAGTCAAGTCCTAAATAGAGATACGAAACCTTTTTAGTTTTTGGGTACCATGGTCAACTCCATCACTTAGGGTGCATTGTAATTAAGGGCGTCAATCGTGTCAGGTTAAGCAATTATGTGTCGAGTTAAATAGATGANGTTATGTGTCGAGTTAAATGGATGACGGATAATAAACGTATAAATTCATACATGACACATTTAATAAATAAGTAAAAAATTTTAACACGAATACGAACCGTTTAATAAACAGGTAATACAACACGATTCATTTAACTTATTTAAAAATAACAAAAAAATAAAAAAAATTATTATTTTAATAAATTTTTGCACTCAAAATATATATATTTTTTTTTTGCTTCAAAGTGTACTTTCCTCAAATTGAGTAGTTCCAACCATCAGTTAATAGCCAACAGTCCCTCGTATAAGCCAAAGCACAAAGGTAAGCTACGCGGAGGAGCCCACTGCCTCTTTTACACTAAAGCTTCCTCTCCATTCCCTTGTGTGCTGTGTCGACGCGGGATTCAAAAAAAAGGTCATTTAATGCCTCAAATACTCAAAACTCCTTTGCTTTGAATCTCACATCGACACAGCACGCAAGGGAGTGGAGAGGGAGCTTTTATAAAAGAGGCGGTGGGTTTCTCTGTCACGTCCATCTCGATTTTTTAAGAATGAGATCTAACTAGATTTTTGATACATCTATTTATAATTATTATAATTTGAATTAATCAGACATTAAATAATCTCACAGATGCAACAATACCATCCAACACTTTAGTTATTAAGCATGATGGTAAAACTTGTCTCATAACCTGTTTCATATATAAAACACTTATATCAATTGTTTATTTACCAGGTTATAAACATATACAAAATCCTACACCCACATAACATACATCATAAAGTATACTTGTTGAGTCTATTTACAAATATTCGGCCATAATAATCTCTCACAAATATAATACACAACTCAACGGTTAGTCATACCGACAATCAACTTGAGTGGTATCACACTAACGTTGTACAAGATTCAATCAACTAGACAATGAACTAGTATGTATTCTCTTCTATAGGACCTGAAAAGAAGAAATTGTAGGGGTGTGAGCTAAATCAATCGCTCAGTGAGTATATATGTTGTTTATGAAATGAAAATGATAGTAATATACTGAAATAGGTAGATACATGTATCAAATAACAATATCAATCAATTTCTAAAGAATTCACAAGTCACATCACATTCATACTATCCCTCATCGGATAATTGATCCCACATAGATTCATATCTCCCGAACCTCCTGGGAACATCACAGTGCTAGCACATTACTACACACCCAGTAATCAAGCATCGATGCCCCTATCTCAAACAGTGCGCCACATTCCACAATACGTAGTACAAAATATCATTCAATCACATAGGCAAGTAGCACATAATCCTTGGGAAAATGGTATTAAATTGTATCATTTACTATCATCTTATAATAGTATTTTCAAAACATAAAAGATATACACCCACCTCAAATGTACAAAACTACGATCCTTCGGTCCTATTGGTAGATCCTTTCGGTGTTAACGTATCCGTTTCGACACCGACCGTCTCATCCATTCCACCTAACATATGTGTAATTACAATATCAATATGTTTATCACATTTAATAGTTAATCATGCACTAATGCATGCAAAATGATGCACCCCAAAGTGCCCCGATAACTCCGATTATCGTACTATCTATTCACACAATAGTACTTTTGTTCTAGGGATCACATTTCCTCCCCAAATTTCTAAAATCATTCACATTAGTCACAATTAGGATTACATAGGTCAAACATCCGGGGGCCATTTTCACACATTTCGACCTTGAATCCTAAAATTGTATTTCTGGCATTTCATACATTCTACATTGGATATTATACTCATTCGCATTCAAAAGTCACATTATCACATCAAACATCATTTAAAAGTGCTGCATGCAAAATTTCAGATCATTTGAATTAAAATTCACACATGTGATAATAACATTTAGAAATTAAGGTTTCGGCGTTATCGACACCCTTTTCCAATTTCTATCGTACTTTTTTTTTAAAACAATTTTACCTAAACTCACACATTTACTAAATTATGAAAATCAGCCCCCCTAATTGCATTTTTAAATAACTCATTTCACTCCCATAATTTCGGTTCCAACCAAACCCTCAAAAACATATCGAACATCTCAAATAATTATTTTTCACATTTTTTTCATCTTTATTTTAATACTCATTTGGAACCTATTTTTAATAGCCCATTAAGTATGCTAAATATATTTAATTACACTCATACAAAATCTGTTTTTACATTAACTAAATCAGCCCATAAGATTTAAATTAAAATAGTCTATTAAAATAAAACAATTCATGTATTTAAAGTCAAACAGCTTACTAATTAAAACATGCTATAACAACTCACACAGATACAAATACGTACATACTAAAATTAATCACAACTCAAAATTTAAATTTTTATACCTTCCTTGCTCATGGTTCAAGTAGACACATACGTATATTTTTTTTTTCCTTTCTTCCATTCTCTTTCTCTTTATCTTTCTTTTTTCCCCTCTCTCTCTTGCTCACCTCACTCGCTCGGCTTCAGTACTCCATCAGACACACACACTTTGTTTTCCATGTTAAACACACACACACACACACCTTTTTTATATTTATTTAACAAACACACAGCCACCTTAACCCCTTTTGACTCATCAGCTTTTTATTTAAACAAGCGTACACTTAATTGAGTAATTACACTTGCTTTTATAAGTTTTTAAGTAATTTTGAAATCGACCCACTAATATTTTTACACATAAAATTTTATAAATAGGTCTCACCAATACATCACTAACAGGGTCTACATACCCAGTGTATGCTCACACACATCACGGCTATGAAAAATTAATTTAATTAACCCTCTAATAATTTTACATAATTATAATTTAACCCATAAAATTATATTAATATACATACAATACGTAATTGGTCACACATCCTCTTTATAACTTACCTTTGTGTTTTGGCTTATATCAGGGATGTATATGTATATATGTATGTAATAATTATTAATTTATTATTATATTAAATTTATTTAAACGGGTGATAAACGGATTGACAGACCTCACTCGAATACGACCCATTTATTAAACTTATTTGATGAGTCAATCCGTTTATTACTCAAACCTGTTAAGGTCTCATCCAAATTCGTTTAATTCGTGTCGATTAATTGTGTCGTGTTAAATTTTGACCGACCTAATTACAACATGGATTCCACTATCAGATGTGACATGAGTCCTCCTAGCGAGGGTGTGACGAATTTGAATAGAGAAGACAGAAGTTTGTCAAAGAATGCCCTCTTTCAAGGTACAGTCGTCGTATCATAGTTCAAAGGATAGATGATAGAGGGAGACCAGGGGTGCCGAAATTTATAATTTTTTGAGGTTAAGTAATTTTTTTTATGTAAAAATTATAATTAAAAAATTAATTAAAATTATAATTTTTAAATATAAAATAAATATTTTTCACGATCAATCATAAAAGTTACATCAAATAATGATAATTACACCTTTAAAAAATACAATTTGATTTAAAGTAATAATAATTTTCAATACGATATGAAATTTTTTTTTTAGTACATAGAACTACTCTGGATAATAAAGAAAAAACAAGTGTTGTAATAAGATTTGCCTTTTGGTTTGATCAAGGATGTATTTTTTTGTTATAGTATTTAAGTTTACACAGACTATTTATTCAAATTTAGTGACTAATCATCGTAACTTGAACTAAATTAGAACATGCCTCTTTCCCTAAAAGGATAAAGTGGCGAACCTTTCGTGGATGTAAAAAGTGATTGAATATAAAATTTCTGAGTTATTCAAACACCGAATTTCCCCCATAACATTTCATGTCATTACATAATTGCTTTCAATGTGAACAGTCTAGATTCTCTCTCTGGAGCCCCGACCTGTTTTGGCTGAAAAGCTTTCAAACCCTTGCGTGAGTCACGGTCACGTGGGCAAGTGCTGAGTCCTATACATCAACCATGTGTAGGAAAGATTTGAGCTTCATAAGGGAGAGCAAAAGATTCAAGTATGGTACATAGTGAACCTTTTAAGTATGAACCCAGTAACTAAAGTAAGATACAATCTTAGTAGGGCTTCATCATTGCTTCAAGAGCAAGCTCTTTTGAGGGACTCAATGACAGTTAGAAAGCCGGTGTGTACATATTCCTGGCTTGCACGACCTCATCGAATTCAAATGCTCCCATCTCCCTTTTGGTTCTGATCAACTGCTGGCATTTTTTATTTAGAGGTTATCCTGTAATTCAGTCTGTAGTTGGAAAGAAGACAAGTGCAACCCCTATGCACCATTGTAACTTGATCATAACTTAACCGAGTTCAATACAGTTTCTTAAACGAGTGCAATACAGTTTCTACACAAGAAACAACCCAAGCATGAGAAATCTATCAAGCAAAATGCATTAAATCATATACCGTAACAACCAAATAAGTTCATATATTATCTAACAATTCTATGTTACAGCTTAAAGTGGTCCATATATCATGCTGAAAAAAAGATTTCTGGCTCCCTTAATTGCTAGCTACTCCAGAAACTCCAATCTGAAATCGTTCAGCTTCTATTCTCACTTCGAATTTCTCATATATGATAGAAGTTGGCAGGAGGGTGTCAATCTGTCATGTTGTAGTCTTCTGTCTGCAAATAAGGATTATAACTCTCCATCTTTCCAACCAGATGGTCCATTCCTGCATTTATGAAGCTCCCAGATTATGAAATTATTCTCATTCGCAAACAAAAGCAACAAAACAAAGAATATCATATTGGGAAGAGGTATCTGTTTTCCTGGTTATGGTCAGCATGATAAGATATACATTTATAGGCCATGTTTAGATCACTTGACATCATCTAATGTTTTAAAGAAGCAACTCTACCGATCCTGCTTTCCTTCCCAAATAGCACTCCTATCCTAGGAATAAGAGAAACACTTACCACAATTTCTCTCAAAAACAGTCGAAAGGCTCACTCCACATATCTCTTCCTGTACTTGGAATCCAGAACTCTGTCTGCTCTACTTCACTTATTGTGTAACAAACTCTTGCTAACAGCCAAATCCTACCATGGCCGTCAAATAATGCATGGACATAACATATAAACTAGGAGAGTGGCATTTTGATCAATTCGACAACAATCTCCAAAAAGTTTTACATCACAGGCGCAACATTGCAATGGTAAAGGGTTTATTTGGTTCTAGAACAAGCCACTAATAGAGCAAAAGAATTTCAAAGGAACACAAACATGATATGCGAGAGATGGTTTGGAGGCCCATGCTCTACACAAATGAAAAGGGCAAAGACAATTTCCATAGCCTACGAGACCAAATCATGCATCAAATTGAACAAGCAGTTAAATACATTTATCTCTAAGTATAAAATTACCAATTGTCATGAAATGGGAAAACCATTAATAATACTATAATGTGGTGCTAGATGTACCCGTTACCTTGAACAAGAAGTTAAATACATTTACTTGTAAGTATAAAATTACCTATTTCAAGAGATGGGAATTTTTTTTAAAATACTATGATGTGGTGCTAAATGTACCCGTCACCATATGCAGTAACTTGGATACTATAAGGGACTAATCAATACAGCAGGCCTGCCACAATCAAACCAAAACTTAACAGGGTTGACCAGTCGAAAAAAATAATATGCTGAAGAATAGACTTACTTGGATTTGACAACATACTTCCATAGAAGGACATTTCACCCAAACTCCCAGCAGACTTTGAACTACCATCTGATGGAAACATGGGCTCTGCTTTACTTGACCGTGGATCTATGGAATGCATCCCAGAGCTTATCTCGGGATTTTGGAAGCAAAGATCATCAGCCCTTGAAGCCAGGTTGTGCTGGGATTGGAAATCCTCTGGCTTTGTTTTCTTATCAGTGGGTGATTCAACTTCTGTCTCTACTTCAGATTCAGCATTGTTTGTTGTTGTAACCTGTTGCTTCCTCTTGGATCGAGCACGCCGATTTTGGAACCAATTATAAACATTTGTCTCTGAAATTTGGCCATGTTGGGACAATTCGGAGGTTATGTCTTTGATCTTCTGCTTGCTTGGAGTTCCATTCCCTTGATCAAAAATTCGCTCAAGAGTCTGAAGTTGCAGGGGTGTTGGAGTCCACCGTTGTCGGCCCGTAATTTTGTGGCCGGCAGATGTCATTAATGAGTCACAATACAAATTTCCCAGCCTGACTCCTGAGAAAGAGAATAATATTCAGTTTAACAGCAAAAATGGAAATCCAAGTAACTCATTAACTAGCAGTGTGTCTCCATTCATTGAAAAGTATGCTGTTACGGAAAAGGAACATTTCAAAGGCAAAAATTTCAACCACATAAACACATTGGAAATAATGTAGTGAAAGAAATATTCTAAAGGTGCATAAAGGAGCAGTTCCATTCTAATATTCGGATGAAAGGGCTCATCACTGATAGATGTTGCAGCAGGTGGTTGTTACAAAACAGCTCAAATAGTAAAAATTACTATCTTTCTGAAGTTCTACACAGAAGTCCCTTCATTGAAAAGAGGTATGACTGTCTTTGAATTCTCCTACCCCAATCAGCCAAATATGGACTCACATGTTCCAGATTCGAAAATACTAAAATAGGGGACTTCAAAAAGCTAGGAAATTGGATGACAAATTGAAGTTACTCAAATAATCAGAATGAAACAAAGAGTAAAATATAAATATGCAATAACGATATACACAACTGATAACATCTCTAGCATCCCATACTTCCAAGAGTTACATATTTATGAGAAACGAATATGTCTCCTCAAAATTTTAGGCTGAATATCCGGTGCAGTAGTTAATATCCTCATAACCCCCACTATTTTTTGAGCATTCAGCGGACCTACAAGTTTTTTTTCCAAAGGACCCCTTATTGAATGTCCCAAATCATAGCAGGGACTGTTTGGCAAAGTTTTTTCTAAGGACGTAGGTATAAATCATTATCTAATGTGAATGCTTTGACCAGGCTAAGCTGCTTATAGTCATTTGTTCTAGGGGAGAAAGAAATAAGCTCAAGTCCAACACCATGAATGGCTCTGTATTATTTAAGTAACTTCACCCAGATCAACCTGTTTTAATCAAGGACAATCAATAGCACTCAACAATTAAGCTTGTTGCCCCCATTAAAGTAGTGAATTCTAAGGCAGATAACTGCAGGACGTGTCTTCTTGGAGGAAAAAAAAAAACCCTTAAGAATTGGTGCAAATATTTTCAGAAATGAAAAGGAGGTACAAGATGAAAATTCAAGTCTGAAAATGAAGGTCATGTCCTTCTACTGTTTGTGTTTTCCTGAAAATTCGGACAAATAAAACTTAGTTTCATCATGCCACTGACGCAAATACCAAAAGGGTACTTGTAATTCTGCGTAAACTGAGGATAGTTCGAAAATATTAAACAAAACAAGGCATTACAGGAGGAATTTCAAAACTTTGTGAAGAAGAGAAATTTAAGCAATCACAATGATATGGCACATTGATAATCATTAGATAGTTATGGAAAGTTTATGGGAGCTATTGACTTTATGGTTCACGTTGATTTGGGATCTAAAATTGGGAAATAATGTAGCATTGTTACTTGGAAAAAAAGTGGGAAATCAAAATTAAATGCATAATTGCTTCACAATTGGTAAAGTCACACAAAAGTCCAGAAATAAGGGACGAAGAATTGCCCTTCACAAGGTATTCAATCACCCAAAAAGGCTAAGATAGTAACATTCATATGTATACACAAACACAAATACAGCACAAATGTATAGACATGGAGAGAGAAAGAGAGAGAGAGACCTGCAAGATCGTGTTGAGAAGTGAGGGATTTGTGCAAATCGACGAGCTGTTCGCAAATGGTGGCGTAAGCGGCGATTTGCTTGCGGAGGACTTCCAATTGCTCGTCTGTCATCACCTTCACAAACATCCCTCCTCCTCCTCCTCCTCCTCCTCCATTGTTGTTGTTGTTACTGTTGGCACCGCCATTGACTTCCTCTTGAATCTGCTCAATCTGCTGCTGTGTCTGCTGTTGTTGCTTCTCCCACTCCATCATCTTCTCTCTGTCTCTCTCTATACATTACACAGACATTCTCTCTCTCTCCCCGGGTCTCTCGAGTAAACAGAAAGTCAGGGGTCAGTGAAGGTAGAGAAAGAAAAAAAAAAAGGTAACGAGAAAGTAAAGAAAGGGCGGACAATAGAGACGGGACAAGACAGGACTAGCATTTTAGTGGCGTATTATAAACACACGCGCGTACTGTAGCATTACCCACGACATGGCCCTCGATTTTGGAAAATTTCTTCCCCCTCTCTCTAAAGTCAAAAAACATTATTATGTTGCGGAGACTCAACGGTACCAAAAAAAACACAAAAAAAAGAAATTTCTTCTTCGTTGATTATCATTTTTTATGTTAAAATTATAATTTTTACAGATATTTATGCTCAATTATTAATTTTTAGTATTTATCATAACACTATGATTGATTATGCCTTTTAACTTACACTATAAAAAAATTATAATTTTTAGTACAGTACAACTGAAGCTACTCTAGTCCTTCCCATTATTTTGTCTTAGCTTGGGGGTGTAATTCCAGCGGTGTTAGAGGGTAATTTGGACTATCAAATTTGAATTATTTAACAATAATGTTATTCTTGTTAAAATTTGATTTTAATGGGATGGTTTTTGACTGATTAAATAAAAAAAGTTAATCGGAGGGACATATTAAAATATTTTTAATACATTAAGGGTTTGTTTGTTTGAGATATAAGAGTGGTATAAGAGGGTGATATAAGGAAAATAGTAGGTGGGGCTTACCTTATTCTTTGTTTGTTTGACATTTTTTGCTCTGTAATAATTTTCGGGTTATAGTACTGACAAGGTGTGAATAGTAACTTTTATGTTTTGCATACGGTGCTAAACAATATCACCTATTCGGTAATATAATATTCTTGGTATAAATTTCATGGAGGCATAATAGAGTAAAAAGACCCAAATGCCCTCATGTACAATGCTCCATATAAAAGTCAGTGGTAATTTTTGACTTTAAAGTTACAATTGTCTTTCTACATTAAGTAGTTGTAATTTTTAAATTTTTTAAATAGGTATTACACAGATAATATTTGTGACACAAACAAAAGGAATGATAGGATTATAGTTTAAGATCAGGTATAATATACCATTGGATCGAAGTGGAATAGATATAAAATATTATACCACCTAAATCTTATACCTCAAACAAACAGGCTCTAAGAGCTCATTTGTTTCAAGGATTAGAGTGGTATAAGGAGGTGGCATTAGAAAAATAGTATGTGAGACCACACCTTATATCTTGTTTGTTTAGCATTTTACAGTCAATACTATTTTCTAGGTCGTAATACCGACCTGGTATAAACAGTAGTCATAATGCTTTGTAAATGGAATGAATACCACCTATCTGGTGGTATTATTTTCATGGGTTAAATGAAAGGACGGTACAAACATGCAAATTGACACAAATGCCCTTCTTTGTTAAGAGTTTACATATAAAAAAAATTTTAAAATTTTTTCTTGTATTATGTTTAAGCGTACGGCGTTACCGACTTTTTTTTAATTTTTTTTTAAAAAACTATTTTGAATTTTTCTTTGTATTATGTTTAAGCGTACTATGCCACCAATTTTTTTTTTTAATTTTTTTTAAAAAAATTATTTTGAATTTGTTCTTTATATTATGTTTAAGCGTACGGTGCTACCGTTTTTTTTTAACAAATTATTTTGAATTTTTTCATTGTATTATGTTTAAACGTACGGTGTCACAAGTTTTTTTTAATTTAAAAAAAAAATTATTTTGAAATTTTTTAAATTTTTTTTAAAAATTATTTTGAATTTTTTCTTGTATTATGTTTAAGTGTACAGTGTTTTCGGTTTTTTTTTTAAAATTATTTTGAATTTTTTGTTATATTATGTTTAAGCGTACAATGTTATCGTTGTTTTTTTAATTTTTTTTTAAATTAAATGTTTTCCTTGTATAGGTGGTTAAGGGTAAAATTAAATGGATGATGTTAAGGGTAAAATGATATATTTGTTATATAAGATGTGATAGAATAGATGGTTATTTGTAGGACCTACCATAATACCTATTGAATCAACAAACAAGGAAAAAGATGAGATAAAAGTTTAAGACCGGGTATAGTATATTATTGGATAAGAGTGGAATGAAAATAATTTATAATACCACTCAAATCTTATAATATAAAAAAATTTAATGTTTAAAGACACAAAATAAAAAATCTTAAATTTTTCAGGATACAAAATAAATTTGCCATTTATTTATGTTAAAAATTAGGTTTAGTCATGTTAAAAAAAAATATTGAATTCAATTCTCAAGTATAATTGTCCGGTTAGAATTAGAGTGTATTTCGTGCTGGAAACGGTTTTAAATTTGTAGATATTTTTATCATAGTTGTGAGTATTTTTTTATTATTATTGTGATATCGAAAAATAATAAAAATAATTATTATAACAGTGTCAAAAAATATTTACAAGTATAATAAATTATCTATAAAAGTGGTAAAAATAATTACCATAGTAGTAGTAAAAATATTCGTAAAAATGATAAATAACCTATAAAAATAATAAATTATATAAAATAATCAATAAAAATTATAAAAATATTTATTAAAATAATAAATTTTGGAGTTACTCGTTACTCCTAATCAGCCACGTACCAAGAATGAGCAAATATTCAGGTGTTTTTTGGAGCACCGTGCTTTGGCAGGTAATTCCTTGGCAATTGGGATTTGTGTAGGTAAGATTAGGATANGTTGAGAGCGGCCATACACCTACATTTATTTTAGGGGTAAATTACATTTTATTACCCCTAAACTATTATCTTTGTTCCACTTTATTCTCAATTATAAAATTTTTGATATTGTACTTTAAAATATCAATTTTATGTTATATTATTTCAATACATAATAGTTATCAATTTTTTAATTATAAATATGCGCGTAAGTAGTCTATAGTGCCATTAAGCAACAAAATAAACACTTTGACTAAAAACTACCGGCCCATAGCCTCTCGATCGCTTCACATTTTCATCTAGTTTTTAAATTGATACATTTTAAAGAAGACCATGTATAATATGACGAGATCTATTGCACATTGCAGGTTAAATATGAAAAAAAAAATATTTATTTATGACTTTGACGTTCTTAAGCTTCAAATTTTTTTATTCTAGTTGATATTTTTTTTATTTCAAACAATTATTTAATTACAAAAGAGGTAAAATAAAGTGGTACAAGACACTTGAGGAGAAACTCTTTGGAGTTTTCCTCTNCAAAACGAATTCCACTTGGATAGTGATTGACTTATATTAAAAAAGAGTAGGTACTTATCTGTTTATATAGACGAGTAGTTATTGATTTACTTGAGGTTCGTTTTTTTATTTATCTGCATATTATTAATTGATAATACTACATGAGAATGTTGACGTGGTATAGTCGTTACAATAATTTTTTTTTCAATATCAACTTAGTGTTCAATTAGAATATAAAGAATCTTGTTGTGATTTATTAGTAAGATTTGCTTAAAAAGTGAATTANACCCTTTTAATCTGTAAAAAAATTGACAACCGTTCTATTGAAGTGATATGAAATAAAATTAATATTTTATGATATAATTTGAAAGTTTTTATAATTGCGGGTATAAAATAAATTAAAGATAATAGTTCCAGGGTAAAGTATAATTCACTCTAATTTTATGGTACCAAAAAAAAAATGAACATGGTATCAAAAATTATTATTTTTGATATCCACTTTTTAGGATTTCGGATCTCCTCCATTACCTCTTTCCTTCAATTCGCCTTAATACAGTACTAGATTAGTGACATGTACAAAATTTTGAATTTCAATAGATCAGATTTTTTTTTTATGAGAAAATTTTTTAATAATGATTAACACTCCATCAACAACAAAATGAATGAGAAAACATCTCATCCATTGAAATTTAAAATCTTATACATGTCACTCATTTAACACTGTATTGAGGAGAATTGAAGAGAATAAGTAGTGAAGGGAATCTAAATATCACTTTTTAACGTATTTATATATAAATTATGAAANAAGTACCAAAATGTGTTGTGCATGCAATGTACGAGAAGGTACTTTTGATTGGGTTTTTTGTGGTTCGGTGCAGTAGTACATAATCAAAGTCAAAGGAGAGGCACACATGGGCTGCCCATCAACTACCGTGTTTGGCGGCAATTCTGTCTGCCACANTAAATATCACTTTTTAACGTATTTATATATAAATTATGAAAATAGCAACTATGAGACCATCAAATCTAATTTGTCTTAAAATTTTCAAGAATTTAAATCAATAAAAATCCGATTCAAGTTGTATTAGTTAACATGCCTAAATAAAATTTTGTGTTTTTACCAATCTTTTTGCTAGCCAAATTGGAATGCAAATATCATTCATATTCATAAAAGAAGATTTGCTCACATTGTCGTTAGCTCTCTCTCTCTCTCTCTCTCTTGTTTGGTTGGTAGTAATTAAGCATGAATTTTTTGTTTTTTTTTTGTTGATGGTAGTAATTAAGCATGAAAATGAAATGATCATTACTAGACAATTTGTGTTATAATGTCGGGTTTGGAGCCAAATTTGAATCTAGAGTCAAGTCNACATTGAGAGCGGCCATACACCTTCATTTATTTTAGGGGTAAATTACACCTTATTACCCCTAAACTATTATCTTTGTTCCATTTTATTCTCAATTATAAAATTTTTGATATTGTACTTTAAAATATCAATTTTATTTTATATTATTTCAATACATAATAGTTATCAAATTTTTAATTATAAATATGCGCGTAAGTAGTCTATAGTGCCATTAAGCAACACAATAAACACTCAGACTAAAACTACCGCCCCATAGCCTCTTGATCGCTTCACATTTTCATCTAGTTTTCAAATTGATACATTTTAAAGAAGACCATGTATAATATGACGAGATCTATTGCACATTGCAGGTTAAATATGAAAAAAAAAAACATTTATTTATGACTTTGTCGTTCTTA